AGCCTGCCTTGAAATTCCTTCTGCAAGATTAGTTAGGCAGCTTCCATTAATCTCAGTCTCAGGTAAAGTGTCTGGACACAAGCAAAATGCAGACAAACTTTCTGGCAAGGCATAACACACATGTCCCGGAGTCCAATAGCCAGTGCAGTCTTTCTTCCCAGCAGCAACCTTGCAAGTCTGGTCTTTACTGGCACCATTTCTGTCAGCATTCTGGTCTTCTGAGCTCTGTCCAGAATCTCTCATCAAGTACAGCCGAAGGCATTCCAAGCCTACTTTTTCAATTGGTATCTCAGAACCTTTCCTAACTCTTTGCTTTTCCACAAGCCAACTCCAAATGCTCCTAAACCACTTGATCAGGTATAGTCACAGCAATGAGCCTACTTCAGGTACCGAATTCTGTCTTATTTACTTTACTTATTGCTGAGACAATATACCTAACACAAAATTTAAGGAAGGAAAGGTTTACTTAGCTCAGTTTGTAGAGGTTTTAGTCCATAAGTGGCTGACTCCTAGGCAGGGTAGCTTAGCAGAGGGGCATCACAGAGAACAATTCATGGTGCCCACAAGATAGCAAAAGGAACAGGGGAATTTAACAGCATGTTTTTGCACCTTTTATCTTCTCATACTTAGAGTGGGTCACACTCCCACTCTTAATCCTATTGCTCTTGAGCTTAGCATTGCACCATTGGTCAGTCTCAGCATCACACACTCTAGGTCCAGCCACTTCTGAAAAAGCCCCACCTATGACCACATGAAGCTTTGGGGGACATCTAGGCACAAGCCACAACAAGTGGGTTCAGTCCATAGTTGGCTGTTCCAAGGTAGAACAGCCTGGCAGAGGGAAGCTGTTCACTGTGGTAGTGAGAAGCACAGTAAGAATGGAGGGCTCTGGGATGAGAATGGAACCTCCCAAATCATTCCCCAAGTGCCTCGCCTTTATGTCCAGTCCCTACTCTGTACATGAGAGTTTTGGAGTACACTTCTACACTGTCACATACCTTCTGTGCCTGTACTCTTTCACATGTCCTTGGCTTGTCACTAATGATTTCTGATTATTGCATTTCTCCTTCACATATCCTACCCATTTCCCATCCCAAGACTCTCTTTCTCCTCAAACCCCTTCCACACAGTCTCCACTAACACTACCCCTGTGAGTACTGCCCTTACTTTTTTTTAGAATCTTTAATCATATGCTATAACTTTTGTTAAAACCTAAAGTAATTTGCAGTGGTCTTATGAAAATTATTAGGTCAACATGAAATTTGGATGTGAGATTGAAATTTGAGTTAGACTGATAAATATTTTGACACTGAAAATAAGTCTTACTTCAGAAAATGAGGGTATTTGTCTCACTGAAATGTTTATATTCACCAAACCTTTCAGTTTAAATAGAAAACTCTTCATGAATGGAAGTGTCATCTTATTCACAACATCGTACTTCACAGTGCCTCCCAGATCCTTTCATGTATTTTGGTACTTTGTCGAGATGCCCTAATTGAAGGCTAAGGACATCGTGGAAGAAGGCTGAAACGTTCTGGCTTTAGAGTCTGGTACTCAACAAATGTTTACTGAATAAACTGAAAGAAAGTGGAGTATCTGAAGGTACTTGGGCTGATGTTCTCAATCAACCTGAAGAGAAGTAGATATCACCGTATTCCATGATGGATGTAGAGAGTTAAGAGACCCCTAAGAAAAAGAAGGTCTGGAACATCAACTCGGGGCTGAATACTTGAAGATTCAAGAAGAAATGAAAAAGAAAATCACCTGTTGGTAAATAGCAGCATGAGGCTTGTATTATTGAACTACACAAACCTATAATAGGTCAGACAAAAAGGATTCTGTACATACAAAAGAAGTAGCAAATATATAAATATGCAGCACAGAGTCTTTATTAGGAACAAATGAAACATTAATTTGATATTTATCCAAGAGATTATATAAAGCATTCAAATTATGTTTGTGGCTGTCATTGGAATAATCATTCATAATCAAACAGTTCATCAAATTTTTTCTATTAAGGTTACCATGATTTATTTCTTGATTATCAATTATACTGTAAGGAGAGTTTCTTTAGAAGGCATTTTTATTTTTCTGTTTATACTATGATGTAGCCACATTCAACTGAGTGGTATGTTTTACTCTTTGAATTGCACAAAATTCCTTCCACTTCCTCAGTCTTGTTTTGTTGTCAGTGCAGATGTAGTACTAAGGATTAAAGCCAAGGTCTTGTGTGTGTGAGACAAACAATACTCCACCAGTTACAATGCAGCTTTTTTGGTTTGGATTTTGAGACAAAATCTTGCTAAGTTACCCAGATCAGATTTGAACTTGTGAATGTCCTGTCTTGAACTTCCAAGTAGCTAGGATTACAGGCATGCACCATCATGCTCACACCACATTTTCAGTTTTAATATGCAATATTATGAGTCTGTGTACAACAGTAGAAAGCAAGAAGATTTACAGGAATATCCAGACTCAACTCAAAACTGTCTCATAAGCTTCTATTGAATTTCTTTCATTTGTCTTCAATATTTTCTCTATGATTTATAGTTCTAAATCTTTAAATTATCACTATAATCCTATTCTGAAATTTTTTCCTTTTATTTTTGATATTTGTATTAAATTATGTAATACTTCACTATATAGGTACACATATTACCTATAATACACCTACATAGACACATTACACATAACATTATCTTTGGAATATAGAAAAAAACTAAAGATCCTATAGGCTAATTTAGTGACACAGTAATATAATTAAAATTTCTGAGGCACTTTGCTTATGTGTTTATTGAAAGAAATGATGCTCTCTAAGTTTGAAGTGAGATTTTAAATATGATGAAAGGGGAAGCACTGTTGAATTTTGAGAAAGAAATGATACAAGCTACTTATGTTCCAGTAAAATCACCATGTTCTTACATGAAGAATGGTTACCAGGAGTTCAAAGGTAGAAAACAGTGATAATTCAGAAATCCTCTCAGATCATAATGACTCAAGTGGTGGTCATACCAAGGAAATTGTAAAAACTAGGTAGAATGTGAATGCATTTTGAAGTCAAAAGTAATAGAGTTTCTTGGTATATTAGATGCAGGGCAACAGAGCCATGAAATATTTTGGGCTGAGCAATTGAAACAATGGAATTGTTATGAACTAACAGAGAAGCTGTAATTATAGAGATTCAGTTCAATTGTGGAAACAAAAAGTTCTGATTTCTAGTGGGTCTTGCTGTAGTTATAAACCACCCCCAATTTAGAAGCTTGGACAACAGTAACTTGCTTGCTTATGAATGTGTAAGTTTGGCAAAAGTCTATAGGAACAACTCATTGCTTCTCTACCTCACTTGTGGTAGTGCTAGAGCTGAGGTGATGTAACATGTGGGTTCTCGAATAATTTGAAGATTGTCTTTCTCACAGTGTCTGAATATCAGTGCTAGCTGTTAGCTAGTGCCTTAGCTAAGGTCACTGTCTGAGAAAGTTACAAGGAGCTTCTTCACTGGAATGCTTAGCTTTTTTAGAGCAGAGAAGTTCTTTTCAGAGCATTTGAGGGAATCTAGTAGAAGTTTTTAATTTATTATATATAATAATTCCTTTCATTTTGGGAAATTGGTGCATATACACAGCACATTTTGATTAATTTGACTCATGATATCACAGTAACAATGAAGACGGACAGTTGTGTTCATAAGTAATATAACATTTAAAAATAGGGAGTTCTATATTCTTAAGAGAAGAATAGTTGTCAACCAGATGTTTGCACTTTAACAGCTCCTGTGGCAAAACCATGATGATAGTGAAGTAAACCAAACACACATGGCTCTTCTGATAGAGTGAGAGTCCAGATTACAAACACTATCCAGTCCAAGAAAAAGTATAGCTACTACGAAGTGAATATAAATAAATAAAGAAATGTTAGTATACAAAATTTATATAAATAGGAGTAGATGTAATGAGGTAAAAGACTAATATAACTTATTTTTAAAGCCAGAGAAAAATAAACAAAATATATAATTCAGGAAGAGGGAAGAGAGCACTGTTAGTAATTGGAAGGGACTGTATGGAGCCTAAGAATAAAAGAAAGTAAGAAATACTTGAAACATCAGAGAAGTTGTACAGAGGTTGCTTGAGAAGTGAAGAAGTCCATAGCAGAATTACAGACACAGTACTTACCCATGACCTGATTGGGAAGAATGGAAATAGAGATTTTGGACTTTACACAAAAGGGAACAAAAATTCCCTAAAGTATTTTAAGGAAGAAGATTTATAAAAGAAACTATTATAGCTTTTGGTCCAGTTTGGGCAAGAAGTTACTGCTGATGGAAAGGGAACACCAGATTCATTTAGGGTGGAGGGAGTTGGAGCATGGAAGGCCAGCTGAATAACTGGAAAGGGAAAAGTCAGAAATGTGGTGGTCGACTGAATGCACTTCAATGTGATTTATGTAAAGTTTGCACCCTCATGAAATTTCTGAATGGAAAGATTACAATAGGTAGACACACTTATATATAACTCAGAAAAGAGGAAGGGAGATCCTTGGCTTGTGCTAACACATTGCTTTGATCATCACAGGCACAGAAGTGGGAGTTAAAGCTTCAGAGCTAGTGGAGAACAAGATTGGCAGGAAAGTGGCCATTCCACTCAGTTAGCATACAAATGAATTCCTACCTATGTAAATAGTTTCACTCATTTAGCATACAATTGAATTCCTAACTGTATAAATAGTTTCATGGCAGAATGGTAAAGTGAGAACCAGAACTGTAAATTGAGGTATAAGTGTTCTTATTTAGATTTATACATACATAAAATATCTACATAAAATGTGACCTTGTTAAATATATACTAAATTCTACATGAACAAAGTGAAAATGTTTTTCTGATTAAGATAGTTTTGAGTTTTGTATCAACCATGACAACTACAAATAAATATTAATATTGTTTTTCTTCCAACAAAATTGAAGAAAACACACTAAAGACTCAGAAGACATACAAATCTTAAATTACCCTTTCTCTGGGTGCACAGCTATAGATCTTGGCTGGTCCAGGCCTTGGGAAATAACAACATAACGGAAAGAGCCGTTCAGTCTTGCAACTTCAATTAAGTTGAAACCATGATCTGTCCAATATATGTTACCTAGGAGAAATACAGAAATACTTATAATACTGTCACAATAAAGAAACTTGTTAACAA